GAGGGGGGGGGGGGGGGGGATAACCTAAATACAAAAAAATGTATCCTATAACACTGCTACAGAGCAATAGATCTAGGAGATGAGAGGTTCTCCAGGATGTTTAAAATAAAATGTTTTATTCCTGCTTCCTCACTAAAAAAGCAACACATCATTGTGCTTGTTTGCTGCATGCAACAAAAATATGGACTATGTATTGCTATCTTAAGCATCAGGAGTCTACAGCGGTTATCTTTTAATGCTTCAAACAGTACGAAAAATCTCATCAGAATATGACATCAGAGACTTGTAGAATGCCGTTTTTTTCTTCCTTCCAGTGATTAAAATCGATCCCCATTGACTATTAGAAAACCGAATGAATGTTTTAACTAAATTCTACTGGTGTATGACCAGCTTTAGAAACTTGTACTTCCTCCCTGTACTTCTGACTGCTAGAGACATGGGAATAGCAAGCGTTGCCACTACAATGATTTATCATTATTATAACATATTACTGCTCTGAATCCTAATTCTATGGTCTTTCATAGGGTTAGGGTTATGGGGATTGATTATGTTTTAAGGTTTAGGTTTAGGATTACTTCAATTTAAGGATCAAGACTAAGAGGGTTATTCACGAAGGCAGCCATGTGAATAACCGACCCGAAGAGAAGTGAGCCGAACGATGTTCGGCTAATCACTTCAGGCTGATTTCAGCCGTACACCGACTGAAATCCAACATGTGGATCGGCTGAGCCGAACCTCCGGCAGGCTACTCGCTGCTGTTTGGCCTATTCCCATAGGGGCCAAACAGCAGTGAGTGAATAGCCGAATGCCGCTGAGCGGCATTCGGCTATTCTGCTCGGTACCTCTGGTACCGAGCAGAATAGAAAAACAGTAGAAAATGCTCAGTGGCATTCGGCTATTCACTCACTGCTGTTTGGCCCCTATGGGAATAGGCCAAACAGCAGCGAGTAGCCTGCCGGAGGTTCGGCTCAGCCGATCCACATGTTGGATTGGCTGAGTCGAACTCCTTCTGCACTTCGGGTCGGCCGAATATGCTGAGCATGTTCGGCCAACCCGGAGCCAGCCGCAGCAAGCCGATGTACGGCTGATTTCAGTCGGTGTAGAAAAAAAAAATAGAAAACGATTGGGCGGAGCTAGCAGTGACAGCTATCACCACGGGCTCTTCGAAGCTCTCATCATAATGACCTAGTAACCAGGGGACGCTGAACTGTCATTACACACTGAGAACTGAGTTCTCAGTGTAATAACAGATCAGCGTACCTGGAAACCAGGAGACGCTGAACTGTCTCTGCAAGTGGCCGGAGCCAGCCGTGAGATGACGGCTGGCTCCACCCAGCTGTCAGTAGCAGGCTGTCGTTCGGCCAGCTTCGGCTTTCACCTCGACTGCAAACTTTGGCCAACTTCGGGAGCTGTACGGGCTATAGTGAATAGCCTGTACAGCAGCCCTTCGGTTCTACTGAACCGAAGGGCTCCCGTAACCGAATGTAGCCGAAGGATCAGCCGAAGCTACGGCTAGATCC